AAATTTACCGACGATCCTCAGACAGCACCTTCCAAACCCACGACCACTTCCATCTAGAAGGACAAAGGCAGCAGGTATATGGGAACACTACCACCTCCAAGTTCCCCTCCAAGTCACTCACCATCCTGACTTGGAAATATATCGCCGTTCCTTCACTGTCGCTGGGTCAAAATCCTGGAAATCCCTCCCTAATAGCATTGTGGGTCAACCCACAGCAGGAGGACTGCAGCAGTTCAAGAAGGCAGCTCACCACCACCTTCTCATAGGCAACTAGGGATGGGCAAGAAATGCTGTCCAGCCAGCGATGCCCACATCCCACAAAATGAATAGAAAAAAGAAAATTCTGTGTGTGAGTCTATGTCTGTGTTCTGACTCTCTGTGTGTCAAAAGCTGGTGAATGGTAAATATGAATGATTGCGAAGCATGTCTGAGCAAAGTTGTATTAAATTCTTGCAATTGAAAGAGGCAGCAAGCAGGGTTTAGATGATTAGCAAGCATTGATTTTTAACCTGCTGGTAGTGGAATTTCTAGATAGGGTCCATGTTGCACAGACTTCCAACAACCCTGTAGAAGAGGCAGAACAGTGGATGCAAGGGTCCAGCTAAGGGTGAGCAGAGGCAGGAAAAGTGTAGCCAATTGGGAAGGTATGTACATCGTAGCAGACAGGACATAGAATCTATTAAAAAAAGGAAGGGATTAACAAGGGGAGGAATGATGCAGAAATATATGACAGGTCAGTGTGCTGAGAAAGTGACGTTTGTAGCTTGAAGTGAAATTTAAGACTTGGATTAAAGGTCCGTGTACTTTATTTTTAAAAAAAAATTAATTATAATGAATTTGGCATTGGATTGGATGGATCTTAGGCTTAAAAATGTATGGCAAAGTTAAACGATTTGAGGCTTCTGGGTCCTGTGATTTCTCAAAAGACTCTGACGAATTTATTTCAATTTCAAACATTTTAGATAATTTAAATTTCAGATTACTGAGTAAGAGTGACAGTGTGATGTTAAAGTTAAAATACATAACTGTGACTGTAGATGAAGCCCTAGTCTACTTTAAATTCTAAACTCTCAGACCAAATCATCCCTCTTGAAAAAGAAACAATTAAAATGTTGTCAACTCCCAGGGAACACAGGAATCCATGACTCCTACAGACTACTGATATGAAATAGTTACTGAGTGGTCAAACAACTTGCACTTTAAACAAACCAATTACTCTGAACTTGTATAGCCCTAGATAATGGTTTCAAAAGCTACCTTAAGCTAAGACCACATAATCTGTAGCATCAGCTTAATCTCTAAAGGTTGGGGGTAAGATGTGGTAAGTGAATCAACATGCACATGCACATTAGGTTTATATTTGGACTAGTGCATGGGGATATACATTACCTCAACGTGAAAGGATATTTTAAAATACTATAGAGACAGAAGGAAGTTGCAGTAGTCAAAGCAAAGATTCAGTGATCATTATCTAAAGTTTCAATTGTATGAGGGGTTCAAGGAATGGTTAGGTCCTACTTGCAAAACCTGGGTAGCATTCTGCTGGGGCAAGGAACTTATAGATTTGTGATAACCAGAAACGCTTGCATGTGTAGGTGGAAGACAAAGGCTGGTGGAAGCATTTTACACAGACTAAGGAGTATGGAAGTGTAAAGAAAAATAACAACTAACTGGTAACGGCTGGTGTCTGCTATATTCTTTCTTCACAGGATCAGGAAATTGCAGTACTAGTGATATGTTTGGCATTTGTGATTCAATAAGAACCAAGTGACTTGGCAGGGGATCCAACAAGGCCTGTTCCATAAGAACTTGAACAATGCAACTTGCAATCATGAGTGTGAAGATTAACTGTCAAGGTGAACAAACTAGCGTGACTAAGGAGTAGCTCGGAACAGCTGGGAATGATGAACAGCAGTGTCTGAGTATTGCAAAGTGTAGCAATTAAGGTTTCTTTTATACTTAAGCTGTTATGTTTAAATCTAGCATCAGTATCCCTCACTGCACCTTAGATTTTCATAATCCTAATTATAACTATACTTGTGTCAGATTAAATATTACTCAAGTTGTCAACCTGTCTAACCATTATGAGTGCTGTCACATTTTGGATAACTTATCTCCTCCTATCACCCCCTCGATTATGACCCCACCCCAGATCACCAGACCATCGTCTCTCGGACCATCCATAACCTCATCACCTCAGGTGATCTCCCACCCACAGCCTCCAACCTCATTATTCCTCAACCTCGCACCGTCCAGTTCTATCACCTTCCCAAAATCCACAAACCTGACTGCCCTGGTCAACCCATCGTCTCTGTCTGCTCCTGCCCCACCGAACTCATCTCTGCATACATTGGCTTTGTCTTTTCCTCCTCGTTCACGAACTCCCCACCTACATTCGGGACATTACCGTTGCCGTCCACCTCCACCAGGACTTCCAATTCCCTGGCCCCCAATACCTCATCTTCACTATGGACATCCAATCCTTGTATACTTGTTTCCCCCACACAGATGGCCTAAAAGCCCTCCGCTTCTTCCTCTCCCACAGGCCCAACCAGTCTCCCTCCACCGACACCCTCATCCACTTAACAGAACTTGTCCTTACCCTAAACAAATTTTCCTTTAACTCCTCCCTCTTCCCACAAACCAAATGGGTGGCCGTGGGCACCTGTATGGGTCCGAGCTATGTCTGCCTCTTCATAGGATACCTGGAACAGTCCCTCTTACACTGGCACCATCCCTCACCTCTTCCTCCGCTACATCGATGACTGTATCAGCGCTGCCTCATGCTTCCATGAGGAGCTTGAACAGTTCATCAATTTTACTAACACCTTTCACCCCAACCTCAAGTTCACCTGGGCTATTTCTAATACCTCCCTCCCCTTCCTGGACATCTCTGTCTCCGTATCCGGTAACTGTCTCAACACCAACATCTATTTCGAACCCACCAACTCCCATAGCTACCTAGACTACACCTCCTCTCACCCACCCTCCCGCAAGAATGTGATCCCCCTACTCCCAATTCCTCCGCCTCCGCCGCATCTGCTACCAAGGTGGAGAGTTCCACTCCCATACATCCCAGATGTCCACCTGTTTCAAGGACTGCAACATCCTCCCTCCGGTGATCAAAAATGTCTTCAACTGCAGCTCTTCCATTTTCTGCACTTCTGCCCTCACATCGCCTCCTCCCACAAAAGTAAAGTCAGAATCCCCCTTGTCCTTACATACCACCCCACCAAACTCTGCATCCAGTGTGTCATTCTCCGCCATTTCTGCCACCTCCAATCCGACCCAATGATCAAAGAGATATTTCCCTCCCCACCCCTATCTGCCTTTCGTAGGGACCACTCACTATGTGACTCCCTCATCTGCTCCCCACTCCCCACTAGCCCCACCATCCCCGGCACCTTTCCCTGCAACCGCAGGGAGTGCTACACCAGCCCCTACACCTCCCCTCCTTCACCTCCATTCATGGGCCAGGGGTTCATCTGCACATCCTCGAACCTGGTCATTCTGCTGCTCTCGATGTGTGATCCTCTACATCAGTGAGACCAAGCGCAGACTCGGGACCACTTTGTGAAGAATCTGCGCTCTGTACACGACTATTGACAGCACCTTCCAGTCACCTACCATTTTAACTCCACCTCCCACTTCCCTTGATTACATGTCCACCCTGGGCCTCCTGCAATGCTATAATGATGCCACATGCAAACACCTCCTATTCCGCCTCAGGAGCCTACAGCCCAATGGCCTCAACATAGAATTCACCAGTTTCAAAATCTCCCCAGGCCCGGCCTCATCCTATGTCCAACCCTCCCTCTTATCCCCGCCTCCTTGACCTGACACTATCTGTCCATCTCCTTCCCTACCTATCCGCCCCATCCTTTCCACTAACAAATCCCCACTACCCTGTACCTGCATCCACCTATTGCCATCCCACCTACCTTTCTCCAGCCCAGCCCTCCTCCATCTATTTACTTCCCAGCTGCCTTCCCCTTCCCCAGTCCTGATGAAGGATCTAGGCTTGAAACGTTGACCCGCCTGCTCCTCTGATGCTGCCTGACCTGCTGTGTTCCTCCAGCTCCACAATGTATTGACTTGTTTAATGTTTGTAGTCTGACTGAGAGAAACTACTAAACTCCATGAACACGTGGACCAATTATGTAGCTGAACGATACCACTAGAGTCATTGATTCAATTCTAACCCTTAATTTTAAAACAAATGGGATTTTGACTTGCCTGCATAATTGTCTGGGGGCTAATCTGTATCTATTAATGAATTAAAACTGTTAACTATAGCAAGCTTGTTGACTTCTAAATGGCATTGAGCAAAGCATTGTTCAAATGGAATTAAGTTTGATTGTGAATTTAAATGTTAGTAAAACACTTAAAAATACAAGGGTCATAGGAGTGAGCAATAAAGGACTTACCCAAATACATAGCTTGCTGTTTGGGTATAGAGAATGTCTGCCTAAATCCCTTAGGGTTAGGGATGAAAACGACATATGGTTTTATTATCATCTTAAATTTTACCCTTGAGATTTCCAGTGCTGCCACAAAATGATGGTATAATGTGGAGGAGAGGAATACTGCCTGGCCTTCGGTGAGCCTCAATATCAGTACAGTATCATCCACTGCCTGGTGAGCAATTCAAGTCTCTGCATCCAACCCCACATCCGGTGATGTTTGGACATTTGGTGATGTCTAGCATCTGGTCTCCCCTTAGGAAGTGGATGAACATAACTAATGATCTAACTGAGGACTTGCTGAGATACCTACTTCCCAAGGAGAAACAAATCCCAAAACTGTGGGAATGTCTACGGAAGATTAAGGGAGAGGCTTGGGCAGCAATGAGGCAGTATCAGTGAATCCGACCGGCAATTGAACAACCTGTAGAAGATGTGGAAGCTGAACTAGAAGATGCAAGGTAGTGGCTGATGGTGTGGGACTGGGGTATTAAGTTGGATGCTCATCCCTGGATTGGAATTTCTTCCGATGTACTGATGGTAGTGCCACTGGTAATCACTATTGAAAATGGAGTTGCTGCTGGCATTGATGCCAACAAGCGCTGGCAAAAGCATGATCTCAAGGGTTTCAACCAGTTAGGCAAGGGCTTCTCGGGAGGTAAGGGGTATAGCTATGCAGATTAATTGGACCTTACAAATCTAACCTACTGACTCACTAGCAGAATCCAGGATGAGGAACGAGAGTCACCAATGATTGTGGCTTCCTTGGGCACAACCATAGTCTAAAAGGGTGAGAAGTGGTGGATGCCCATAGGTATAGAAATTAATTTGATAACCAGAAATATATATGTAGGTACACAGCAGGCTGGGAGTTTGGTATAGGACAATGGTTCCGAATCTTTTCAGTATCAAGGTACAGTTCAACAAGACAAACAACCAATCCCATGGCACATAGATTGGATTTTCTTTCTCTTGCACATGCACGGTGATCAATGTCAGCAGATACTGCCTTCAATAAGACATCGAGGCTCTGGAGGAGGTCAGAAGGGTCCTCAGCATTCAGGTAAAACAGCACTGCTTCCCCAAAATTTCACAGCACACTTCTCACCTCATTACAGCACACCCATTGTAAAACCACTGGTGTAGGTTGACAATTGGCTCAGGCTTTAAGGTTTAACACAAAATATATTGAATGTAAGCTTAATTTAGAACTTAGACATAGAGGAGACATGAACCAGTTAGCTAATCAAAGATACGTAATTATGACAGTGTATGTAAAAAATCAAACTTATTAATTTGAGAGAGATAATTACTGTAAATAGGAGCCTGTTTGCAGTTTCAAAAAGCAGGGTTGCTGGACATAGGCAAAGCAGGAAGTTGATCAGCCTACAATGGAAAACACTTATCCCAATCTGGGACGGATTTAATCTTTTAATTGGACATTGATACTGTAACTGTCTTGTACAGCCTATTGGTCATACGACAAAGTGTATTAAAATATTAAGGAACTGTTGCTTGTTGAACAATCTGTCTTGAGCTGTATCCCCATAGACTAGACTAAAGTCCTTGCCTTGTTTGAATCCCTAACCAGCTCTGTGTCAAATGATTTTTGAAGCATTACAACAATGCTATTCAAGGATCAGATTGGGATGTGTGATTTGGTTATAAAAATGAGGAGGAGGGTGATTTTACAGATTTTAAAACATGTTCAGTCCATACTCAGCTGTCAATTAGTATTCTTCGCTGTGAAAAAAAGAGTGAAATTGAATAAATGTGAAAATACGGCTTTCGTTTTTAATCAACTTGATAAATTTTGTGCACAAGATTAAAGTCTGTTTCTGTAGAGGTTATTACTTATTATTGAGCAACAATTTAATAATAAAAATACTTTTTTGGTACTTTTGTGGGTGGAATCAGCTGGAACAGTCTTCAATGGACTAACTTGGTGGTAGCAAGTGGATGAAGGTGGATTTCAGCTTTTTAATTAAGAACTTAATCTTGGAAACTCAACATTTTTTATTTCAAAAATGCACTTTATTCATAAAATCAGCTATGAGTATATATAAATGTTCTAAATCTGTTCTGTGCAGACTTGGCAGAGAGCAAAAAAAAACCAAATAAGACATTGGAAGTTTGACATTTCTCAGATTTTCTTACAGTTGCAAAAAACAAAGGCATTTTTACTTACGCAGGAAACTACTTATATTCGTTAGAAGGCACCATGAAGGTCTAATAACTAAATGGACCCTTGTTACACTTTGGCAGAAAGATCCTAAATGGTGGATTTTCCTCAATGTGCCTTGGTGACAGTTGCCCCAGGCTTTAGTGTGCCCCTCAGCAGTATGTTGTTTTCTGTTTAGTTTCAAAAATATACTTTATTCATAAAAGTATCTTTGCATACATACATAGTCACTGAAGCAGATTGGTTCTGTACAGTAGCATATGAAGAAACAAACAAACACTGGATTTTGACTCCATCCAAAAAAAGCATTTCTTAATTGTACAAGACTATATTTACATATATTTGAGGCATCAGGAGAGCCCAATAACTGAGCAGATGCCCAGTTAACTTCAGCATAACCCCATAGTAACTTTTACACAAGTACAACAGTAACTCATTCTGAATCCTTAAAATATTGGCAGTGTTTGTTCTGCTGGACCCAATGTTACTACCATTCAAATGAGGTGAGTGCACTAAATTTGTGTATCTTTAGAGCACTGGTCAATGTTTATCCATCAATCAATACCACTTAAACAGATGCTCTAGTCGTCATCATCACATAAAATCAGATGAGGAACCATAGATGCTGGAAATCTGAAACAAAAACAAAAGGGTAACTGGACTCGAAATGTTGACCCTGTTTTCTCTCCACAGATATTGCCAAACTTACTGAGTTTTTCCAGCAATTTTTATTTTTGTGTCATTATCACATGCCTGTTTGTGGGAGCTTGCTGTGTGTGAAACAGTTGCCCTATTTCCTATATTACAACAGTGACTACACTGGTTTGTAGAATGATTGAGACATTGTGAGGTAGCGTAAGACGTTATATAAATGCAGGTCTTTCCTTTTATTATAAGCAATGAAAACTACAACATTTTGGGTGAACATATTGAGTACAAAAAAATAGAAACAAAAAGCTAGAAGCAGTGCAGAGGAAAACAGAAGCATGTTATACAATTAGTATACAGAGGTTCAACCATTCAAGTTGGCAACCTTTATATTGACGGCATATTCTAAGATTTGTTTCCATCTGTAGAGTAGGTAATGTCAATGTACGAAATAAAGATTTTCTGCAACTGTCCTCCAGCTGTTGGTTACATGAAAATATATATTTTATGTCAAGTAACTTTACTCCTGACTTCCCAAAGCCTATCTATTACTTATAAGACACAAGGTACAAGCCAGTATTGTGATGGAATATTGTCCCTTTGCCTGAATGGCTGCAACTTCAATCACACATAACAAGTTTGACACCAGAAGCAGTCTGCTTGACTGGCATCCATCTACCATGAGGAACTCCTCAGATGCTGAAGCAGTCCATACCTGCATGCAGCAAGAACTGGACAATAGTCACACTTGGGCTGATGAGTGGAAAGTAATATTTGAACTACACAAGTGCTAGGCATCGACCATCTAGAGCAAACGACAATCCATTGATCTTTTCTTGACATTCAAGCACATTGCTATAACTGAATTCTCACCAGCGACATCCTAGGGGATCACCATTCACAAGCAACATAACTGGTCTGGCCAGATACTGTGGCCAGAGAGTAAGTCAAGGAATAGGAATCCTGCAATGAGTAGCTCTCTCCCTGACTCCCAAAAGCTTGTTCACCTTCTACAGGGCACAAGGAAAGTAATAGTTCAAGAAGGCACCACAACATTCTAAAGCATAGCTAGGAATGGGCAATAACTGCTGGCCTAGCCAAATAAGCCCATATCCCATAAAACATTAAAGAAAACAAAATAATGGAAATGGTAGCATATGTAATAATATCACTGGTAATCTAGGTGTAATCTGGACCTGCGTGAATATTCTGGACAGGACTCAAATCCCACCACACAACCTTGATTCACTACTGTCTTTTTGGGAACAAAGTCTGCTGTCCTTACCGGACTGGTCTATGTGTGACCCCATGCCCACATAAACCTGGTTAACGTTTATACTGCACTCTGAAATAGCTCAAAAAGCCACTCAGACTAGATCAAGGGCTTGCTTTTGACTAGGTCAGGATTTCTGAGCATGGGGAGAAAGTTTGGTGGTCAGGAAACCTGGACGACTAGATCCCACGCTAAGAAATTTTGACCCACACTATGCACTTTTCTTCCTAGTAGGCTCTAGAAAGTAATGTGGTTGACAGAGCTGGTTCCTTGTCATCCAGGAAATACTCTGTAGGAGGCAACATCTCAGGGCTAGGTAGAGAAGCTGCAATCATATCATGACAGTGAGGGTTGAATTCTAATTATTTGGGGTAGTTCCAGTCTGGGGGTTAGTAGAGGCTAGAGGTGGGGCGCTGTGGTAGTTGGCAATCACAAGAGGCTTTCAGTGACTCTACAGATAGGGTTAAACCATCATGGAGGAAGTGAGGTTAATTTCCTGGAGAGGGGATAGGCATTGGGTATCTGGCAGGTTGGTCAGTAATCCTGGAGGATGAATTCAGCCATCTTGGGAACATGGTTAGGTGCTCCTAAACAAGGGATGGTGAAATCGTTCTGAGGCAAGATGTTGTGTAGCTTGCAGGGGAACTTCTGGCTGATACTGTTCCCATGTATCTGCTCTAGATCTTCAAGCTGCTAGAGATTGCGGGTTTAGAAGTTACTGTTGAAGGAACCTTGGTCAGCTGCTGCACTGCATCTTGCAGATGGTACACATTGTTGGCTTTCAAAATGAACCAGATAGTTCCCCAACATTTCAGGTTTGTGCTCTTTCATCAGAACTGGGAATGTCATAGACATATCGGTTCTTTAATACGTAGAGAAAGTAGAAAGAACGCTGACTGTGTTCTGTTTTGAAACAATGCAGAAGGCCTCAGACCAGATTGATTGGTGAGGGAGATATTGAAGGACTGGATGTCTGTGGAAATGATTAGGACAAGGAAACAGAAACTGTTAAAATCATTGTTAAAGACATTGACAAAATTGTGAATGTAAATAGGTGAAGGCAAAAGGAGTGAATGTTGAAGATGGTGAATGGTGCGCCAGCTGAAGTTAAAGTAAGAAATATGCGTTCATGCTTTGATGATGAATGGGACAGGAAGTGGTTGCACAAGTCAGATCAAAGTTTCTTAATTTGTTTCAGTATTATTAGACTTGAAATGGGCCTGAGCAATGATTAAAGGAAGTGGTTGTAAATTGTAGATCATTTAACATTGGGCATGTTGTTCAGATTTCTGGTTGAAATGATTATGTTTTAACTTTTTAATTAGAATTAATACATCATGGAAGAGTCCACAAGTAGACAGGAACTTGCCAGCTGGATAGGCACTTCTCACTTTTCCAGAATATTCATGAACATGATGCAAATGATTGTAGGACCCACAGGATATCCCTGTTCCCTGTGGTGGGAGGAGGAGGTTTGCTACAAAGAAGAAATTTTGAAGTGAAAGTGGAAGTCAGCAGCTAGAACATGTTACCTCATTCCTAGGTACAGTGTGTC